GAAGGGCATATATGTTGCCGTTGATTTCTCAACAATGTTGCAGTGAATTTGTTTCTGAGAGGAGCAGCGTGGTGGGGGCAAGAGGCGCGGAGTCACCACACAGACCCCGGGAGTCAAGTGAAAGCAGGCTTGAGGTGAGCAGCCCGCAGACTCGTTTATTACAGTTGGTACCATATCTTATATAGCCAAGACCAGCCAATCTGGTCAAGGGGCGGTCTATGCCCCAACCAATCACAGCCTGTTGCCAGGCAGTTTCCAAAGCCATTCAATCACAGCCTGTTGCCAGGCAGTCTCAAATCCATCCAATCACAGCCTGTTGCCAGGCAGGCTCCGTTGCCAGGTGAGTTTCAAAGCCATTCCTGAGTAACTGACGCTCGCTTGCCAGTGGCTACCTTGGCTTGGCCTTCTCATTCCACCACACATATAAATACCTGAAATAACTGTAATTCAGTGTAAAATGTGTCAAACACTATCAGGAAGATTCAGCAAAAATAACACAATGCTGTATGCAAGCCAAAGAAACTGAAGCTTGCATTTCTGGTGAGTGCAAGCAGAGGGAAAGATTTGTGTGGAACATTTGAAATTACCAAATCCTCGAAGTTTGGTACTGGTAATAATTGGAAATATTTTGTGTCTAGGAACATGAGAAAAGAAAAATAAGGGAAAGGTTAGGGGCTGGTGTGTATTCTTGTTTACCTATAATTTAGCTTATACAAGGAGATAAAATTGAATGTTTAGATAAGGGCTAGATCTTGCAGTATAGTATTTCTCAGTTGGTTATTAGTGGGTATCCAGGAGTTTCAATAATATGTTGGGTGGTTCTGTTATTGAAGTAGTAATGTATCTGGTTTCAATTTCCTGGTTTTTTAAATAAAAAATCAGAAATATTTCCCTTCATTAAAATAAATTCATTTGAGAGATTTTTGAACATATGTAGTTGGTACATGTATGTCAGTTAGTAGAAGTCAGATTAGTATGTAATGATCTCAGTTTTTGTTTTAATAATTTTTCTATTTTTATTTAATTCATACTCAGGTATTGACTGAAGTCAGGAATTTTAAGAAATGTTGATCTTAAAATGCAACAAGGTAACAAGGGATGATAAAATAAAATTTAGTAAGTGTCATCAAGGTCATAACAATTTATCTTTTACATTCATTTGATCAAAATTCTTGGGGACCAGTTTATATTTAGCAAAATGGAGGGAAACAAAAAATTGGTTAGGGATTATTGTAATTAATTTGGCCTCATATATTCAAAATAATACTAGAATAACACCTATAATACGTTATTTTTAGAGTAGAACTTGTAATTAGCAACCTGAACCTTTTTCTCATAACTCATTATTTAAATACAAAACACAAAGAAATTAAAATACACTAGTTTATTTTTTTAAAGGTACAACATCAAATAATTATACATATCAGGCTATGACAGCAATTTTGGTTTATTTATGATGCCATTACATGTACATTGACACCATTGTAACTATCATCAGGTCATTAAACACCTTTGCTGAAAAGAAAAAAACCACTGTATCAAATCTTACTGTAACCATTTCCTGGTATTAATTGATTTTAAATATTTACTTAATTATTTGAAAGAGCAATAGAGAGAGAGGGAGACATAGAGATCTTCTCATCTGCTGGTTAATTCCCCAAATAGCCACAACAGCCAGTTCTTGGCCAGTCTGAAGCCAGGAGCCTGGAGCTCTATCTAGTCTTCCACATGGGAGGCAGGCATCCAAGTACTTGGGCCATCTTCTGCTGTCTTCCTAGGCACATTAGCTGTCTGCTAGATTGGAAGTGGAGCAGTTGGGACTGAAACCACATTCCAGTATGGAATGCCTGTGTCTCAAGTGGTAACTTAACCGACTGCATCACAGTCCCAGTCCCTGCAATGTGTATTATTATCTCCTATAATTATTTACTTCTAAACACTTTAGTTTGTATCTGACTTCTGCCCAGAATTATATATGTGAGATCTATCCATGTTTTGTACATAAGAGTTATTCATGTTTATCGTATTTGTTTTGTGGATATACCAAGGTTTATTTGTTCATTCCATCACTGATAAACATTTGGGTTGTTTCCAGTTCCAGGATATTGTTAATAATGTAAAACACTATTTTACCTGTCTTTTGGTAGACATGTGCACTCATTTCTGTTAGACATACAGACCTAGCAGTGGAATTTCTAAGTCATGAAATGCACATTTGTTCAATGTGAGTAGAGAATACCAATTTGTTTTCCAAAATGATTGAATCAATTTATGCTTCCATGAAAAGTATATACAAATTCCTGTTGCTCGACATTCTTGCCAACACTTAGCATTTTCGGCCCCTTTTAATTTAATCCCCAGGTGCAAACTGCTGAAATCTTTGTTTAGTGTAAAGTTGATCTTCTGAATATAAAGATAATTGAAAGTGAATTTTAATGAAGAATGGGATGGGAGAGGGAATAGGAGGTGGGATGGTTTGGGGTTGGGAGGGCAGGTATGGGGGGAAGAACTGCTATAATCCAAAAGTTGTACTTATAGAATTTATATTTATTAAATAAAAGCTTTCTATAAAAATTAATCCCCTAGCCAGCACTGCAGCTCAATAGGCTAATCCTCTGCCTGCAGCGCCGGCACACTGGGTTCTAGCCCCAGTCAGGGCGCCAGATTCTGTTCCGGTTGCCCTTCTTCCAGGCCAGCTCTCTGCTGTGGCCCGGGAATGCAGTGGAGGATGGCCTAAGTCCTTGGGCCCTGCACCCCATGGGAGACCAGGAGAAGCACCTGGCTCCTGGCTTCGGATCAGCGCGGTGCACCGGACGCAGCGCGCCGGCCGCGGTGGCCATTGGAAGGTGAACCAACGGCGCAGGAAGACCTTTCTCTCTGTCTCTCTCTCACTGTCCACTCTGCCTGTCAAAAAAAATTAATCCCCAGTTCCTTTTAATTTAACTCCTTTATGTGTGTTTGTGTATGTCTGTGTGTTTTTGGTAACTCTAAAAAATAGACATTATAGCAGTTTTAATGCATAACCTGCTCTAATATCTGTATGCCCCATGAAAGGTAGATTTGTTATAATCAACGAAATTAAGAAGGAGTTCAAAGTCTATGGTTTACATTAGATTTCACTTATAGTGTTTGAACATGTATAACATTTATTCACCTTTGTTGTATCATGCAGAGTAGTTTTACTGCCTCCCCTATCCCTACCCAAATCCTCTGTGTTTCACCAGTTCATCTCTTCTGCCCTCTCTACCGCTGGGAACCTCTGATTTTTGTTCACTGACTCTATACTTTTGAATTTTGCAGAATGTCATGTAAATGGGATCATGGTATATTTCACTTGGTAAAGTACATTGAATTTTCCTTCATGTCTTTCTATGGCTTAATAGTTCATTTCTTTATAAATAATTATGACACTTTTAATAGATTAAGTAAGACTGATTATCAAATCATATAATCAGATTATTTTAGATTAACAGTTCTTAGAATTGAGTGATTATTGTTACTTTCACCTTCTTCCAGAAAATTCAAGAGCCTCAGAAAATTTTAACAGTTTCAGTCATCTCTTCATTGTTATACCTTCTTAAACAGTCTGCGAAGACCTGTCAACTTAGTTTAATCCATGTTTTTAGGATGTGGTCCTTTGATTCCACAACCTTTGATTGAGAATGATTCATCCCTTGAAGATGTGTTATTCCTAATTACTGCTTCAGCTTCTTAGTTTCTTAACTTTCCCCTGTGGACTGAACACTTACTCACAGGATAAAGCTGGCTTTAATAGTTGGCTTGACCTATCCCATCCTGAGTCCTCCCACAGAATCCACCATGCACATACTTAGCTTATTTTCTCAGATACCTTCAAAGAGATGTTTTCTGATGTTAGTTGTGGTCAGTGGGAGTGATGGTTCAAATTACCTATCCTACTGTTACCTGAAACAGAAATCAGTAACCAACCTTTCTGTGAAGTGTCCAACTTCAAACTAAATACAATATAATAAAACATGCTATATTTTTCAGTAAGTCATGCCTTTTAAAAAAGATGGTTAAGTTAATGACTCTATTGTCTGATGCAAGAAGGAAAAGACACATTTTTTTCTACATATTACCAGGAGATATAAAAACTCATGGAAAATACATATTAGAAAAATAATTTGCATGTATTTCAAATGTGTTGCACCAAAATAAACCACCTGACCTAGAGGCTAAGACACAGATTAAGATGCCTATGTCTCATATTGGAGTACCTGGATTTGAGTCTCAGCTCCATACCTAATTTTAACTTCCTGAATATCCATACTTTGAGAGGCAGCTGTAATGGCTCAGGTAGATGGGTCCTTGCCACCCACCTGGATTGAGTTCCTGACTCTCGACTACAACCTGGCCCAGCCATGGCTGTTGTAGGCTTGTGAGGAGTAAACCAGCAGATGAGAGCTTTGTCTCTCCCTCTCAAAACAAACCTACAAGCTTATCTTTTAATTTAATCCATCCGTGAACTTTCTGAAACACTCTGTATGTGTATGATTAAAAATTATACTTAGAAGTAAGGATCATTTGCTGATGAGGTCCAGGTCAGTCTTCAGGCTTCAGTGCTGGTACTTTCTTCATGCCTTTGATTTATTTAAAATCTCATTTATTACTTATCAAATTTTATACTTTTATTGCTTACATGAGTATCCATTTGTGCAATTATTTGGTCAAAATTCCAAAATTAATTTATAAAAAGGCCCAGAAAGCCCATATAACCATTCAAATTCTGTTTTTCTTGTGTCATTTCTGGATTAAATATAAAATTTTTTTTACTTTAAGAAACTTTGAATATTTTCTCCCAGATGACTTTCCCCTAAACGAAGAAGACAAATACCTAGAGCCTTCTTAAGCACATTTTTCTTTTTAATATTTTTTCATATATCACATAGCATGACACACAGGTGATTTGTATCATATTTTCTGACAATAATTCTGGTTATGGATTAAGATAAGCAATGAGGGGAGGTAAAAAGCTAATCACTGGTAGCATTATTTTAGATTTACTTATACTATTGATTTGTTTTACAGAAAACAAAAACTGCCTACTCATTATGTTGATTTCAATGCATAAAGAAGTTGGCAAACTGGCTGCTTGCTACTTGTTTAATACTATCCAGAATTTTGCATTTTATGTACAACAGCTATTTCAGAGTTCCTCTTTACTTAGGCATTGTTGGGAAGATGTATGAAGTCAGATCTATTTGTGGAACTAAATTTCTTTTCAGATTTCTTCTCCGTGGTACCTGTGAAATAATGGGATGTTAGCTAGTAACTGACATTCTGTGACAAACACAATTTTCTAAAGACAAGTTTCACTACTAATATATAGTGATTTTAATACTGCCAGGAAAAAATACTCAAAAGAATAGTTATTTCCTTAGTAGTTCCTTATGCCTTTAGTGGTAAATGTGTGTTAAAAGTAGGAGTTGAGAATCCCAAAGGCTGTAGTGGAAAAGCAGAAGATTTTGAACCAATTAACTGCACGATTATCCATTATGGGACTCAGGTATACGTTCAGAAAAAAGGTTGCTTTAAAACAAAGTAAGAATTGAGTAATAATTAATTATGTATATTAGTTATGGAATTCATTCACTCACAAAAAATAAAAATAAAATGATGATCACACACATGAGAAATGAAAGCAGGAGTAGCCATCCTAATATAAGACAAAATAGACTTTAATACAAAATTGTTTTAAAAGACAAAGAAGGACGTTATATAATTATTGAGATCAATTCAACAGGAAGATGTGTAAATGTATATACACCCAATGCCAGGGTACCTAACTATGTAAAACAAATGTTAATGGATATAAAGGGAGAAATAGACTCCAATACAATAATAATGGGTGGCTTCAACTCCTCACTTTCATTAGTGCTCAAATCTAGACAAAAAAATCAACAAAGAAACAACAGAAATAATCTATGTTATGGACCTAATTGACCTAATTGACATCTACAGAACATTAAATTCTCACATGTGCAGAATACACATTCTTTTCATCAATGCATGGAACTTTCTTTAGATGGACCATTCACTAGCCCATAAAGCAAGTCACAACAAATTAAAAAAAATTGATATCATACCATGCATCTTTTTGGACCACAATGGAATGAAACTGGATATTAGCAACTTAAGAAACTCTAGAAAACATACAAACACGTGGAGATTGAACATCCTACTGAATGAAAAATGGGTCACAGGAGAAGTCAACTGGGAAATCAAAAAATTGTTAGAAATTAATGAAGATGACAAAACAATATATCAAAGCTTTTGAGATACAGCTAAAGCATTGTTAGGAGGAAAGTTTATAGCAATTAGTGCCTAAATCACAAAAGTGAAAGGGCATCAAATAAGTGATCCAACAATATAACTCAAGGAAAAACAAGAACAAACAAACCCAAAATTAGTAGGAGGAAAGAAATAATTAACATTAGGGAAGAAATAAAATTGAAACCAAAAAAGGTTGTGCAACTAATCCAAAAGATTGGTGCAACAAAGACCAGTTTTTTTTTTTTTTTGACAGCAGAGTCATACAGTGAGAGAGAGAGAGACAGAGAGAGAGAGGTCTTCCTTTTCTGTTGGTTCAACCCCCGGTGGCCACTGCAGCCAGTGCACTGTGCCAATCCAAAGCCAGGAGCCAGGTGCTTCCTCCTGGTCTCCCATGCAGGTGCAAGGCACAAGGACTTGGGCCATGCTCCACTGCACTCCCAGGCCACAGCAGAGAGCTGGCCTGGAAAAGGGGCAACCGGGACAGAATCCAGCGCCCCGACTGGGACTAGAACCCGGGGTGCCAGCGCCACAGGCGGGGGATTAGCCAAGTGAGCTGCAGTGCCAGCCACGATCAGGTTTTTTTTTTTTTGAAAAAATAAACAAAATTGATACCCATTGGCCCAGCTAACCAAAAAAAAAGGACCCAAAGTAATAATAAATAGAGATGAAAAGGTGATGCTACAATGTAAATCACAGAAATAACAAGAATCATTACAACAAACACCTATATGTCAACAAGTTAGAAAATCTAGAAAAAATGGATAAATTTCTGGACACTTACAATCTAACAAAATTAAGTCATGAAGGTATAGAAAACCAAAATAGACCAATAAGCAAGACATAGATTGAATCAGTAATAAAGACCCTCCCAGGATTGGATGGCTTCACTGCTGAATTCTATCAAACCGTTAGAGAATAATTATAATTCTTCTCAAGCTATTCAAAGCAATTGAAGGGGAAGGACTCCCTCCCAAGCTTCTTCTATGAGGCCAGCATTACCTTAATTCATAAACCAGAAAAAACACAATAAAGAAATAAAACTGTACACCAATATCCCTGATGAACATATATGTAAAAATCCTCAACAAAATACTAGCTAATATAATCTAACAACACATTAGAAAGATCATTCACCTGAACCAAATGGGATTTATCCCTGGGATGCAGGAAAAGTTCAACATATACAAATAAAAATGATACATCACAGTAACACATTGAAGAATAAAAACCATACGATTATCTCAATATAAGCAGAGAAGGCATTTGATAAAATACAACATCCTTTCATGATAAAAAAAAAAACTCAAGTAAATTGGGTGTGGAAAGAACATTCCTCAACACAATCAAGGTAATGTATGACAGACCAACAGGCAGCATCATACTGAATAGAGAAAAGTTGGAAGTATTTCCACTAAGATCCAGAACCAGACAAGAATGCCTACTTTCACCATTGCTATTCTGGAGGTTTTAGCCAGAGCCATTAGAAAAAAAAAAAAGAGAGAGAGAGAGAGAAAGAAAGAAATCAAAGGGATATAAGTTAGAAAGGAGGAAGTCAAACTATCCCTGTTTTTAGATGACATGATCCTATGTCTTAAGGAACCAAAAGACTCCACAAAGAGACTATTTGAACTCATAAGAAAGTTTGGTAAAGTTTCAGGATATAAAACCAACACTCAAAAATCCATAGTCTTTGTAAACACTAACAATCCTGTGGCTGAGAAAGAATTTGTAAGATCAGTAATAATAGCTGCATTCACAATAGCTACCAAAATTTTAAATACTTTGGAATAAATTTAACTAAGGATGTGAAAAATTTCTACAATGAAAATTGCAAGGCATTAAAGAGATAGACGACACTAAAAAAATGGGAAAATCTTCCATGTTCAGAATCGGAAGAATTAATATCTTCAAAATGTCCACATTACCCAAAATAATTTACAGATTCTGTGCAGTCCCAATCATCTGACATTCTTCTCAGATCTAGAAGAAACAATGCCAAAATTCATAATGGAAACACAAGAAACCTCAAATAACTAAAGCAATCTTATGCAACAAAAACAAAGCCAGAGGCATCACAATACCAGATTTCAAGACATACTACAAGACAATTATAATCAAAACAGACCAGTACTGGCACAAAAAAAGACATGTGGACCAATAGAACAGAATAGAAACCCCCAAAATTAATCCACACATCTACAACCAACTTATCTTTGACAAACAAGCTAAAATCAATCCCTGGTCTCTTCAACAAATGGTACTGGGAAAATTGGATCTCCACTTGAAACAACACCCCTAACTTAGACCTTCTATAAAAATCAACTCTAAATAGATCATGGATCTAAATCTACCACCAAATACCACCAAATTATTAGGGGATTACATCAGGGAAACTCTGCAAGACATTGGCATAGGCAAGGAGTTCTTAGAAAAGATCCCAGGGGCACAGGCAATAAAAGCAAAAGAAGACAGATGATTACATTACGTTAAGCTTCTGCTCTACAAAGGAAATGCTCAACAAAGTGAAGAGGCAACTGGCAGAATGGGAGAAATTATTTGAAAACTATGCAACTGATAAAGTATTAATATCTAGGATCTATAAAGAACTCAAGAAACTTAACAACAACAAAACAATCCAGTTAAGAAATGGGCAAAGGACTTGAACACGCATTTATCAAAGGATAAAATTCAAATGACTAATGCTCACGATCATTAACCATCACTGAAATGTAAATAAAAACCGCAATGAGGTCTTACATCACCCTAGTTAGAACGGCTATCATCCCAACATCAAAAACCAATAAATGCTGGTGAGGATGTGTGGAAAAGGTACCCTGATCCCCTAATCCATTGTTGGTAGAAAAGTAAACTAGTATAACCATTATGGAAGACAGTATGGAGATTGCTCATAAATCTGAAAATAAGTCTACCATATGACCTAGCCATCTCTCTTCTGGGGATTTGCCCAAACTAAAAGGAATCAGCCCATGAACTGCGTACCCATGTTTATTGCAGCTCAATTCACAATAGCTAAGATTTGCAATCAATCCATATGTCCATCAACTGATGACGAGATCAAGAAAATGTGGTATATATACACAGTGGAGTCCTATTCAACCATAAAAAAAGAATGAAATCTTTTTTTTCAACAAAATGTATGCAGCAGGAAACCATTATACTTCATGAAGTAAGACAGTTTGAAAAGGACAAATATCATATATTTTATCTGTTATGTGACAGTTAATATAGAATACAAAAAATGTATAGGGATGAAATGGACATCTTGTAATATGATCATTGTTTTTAGCCCTTTGTTATATTCCTCTGGAACTGTGGTCTTCCTACTTTTTACTTGTTGACAATTATTGTTAGTGGAGAATTAAACTTGTGAATATACAATGGGTTAAAATTATGTGTTTGCAAAAACTCATGAAAGCATGAGATGTGATATAGCCTGAGGGATTGGGCGAGGGAGAGATAGGAGGGAGGGAACTGCAGTTGTCTTCTTGGAAATCTACCTATGGAATACATGAAATCTGCTCTCTTTATACTAATTTTAAAAATAAATAAAAGAGGCAAGGATAATTACACATCTGTTGCTCCCCCATTCGCGGAGGAGCAACACTAGACCCTGCGCTGTTATTTTGTCTGCTCGGCCCTTCCCGGGTTTGCTGCTGGTCCTTCCCAGGTTGGCTGCTGACCCCTCCACCTCCGTGGAGGGGCGGCTCCCCCTGCCACTTTCCCCACTTCCACGGAGGAGTGGCACACCGCTGGCCGGCTCTCTCGGAGGCTGCTCAGATGTTATCTGGATGTTCCTGGTGCATGTTGCCTCTCTCCTCCTTTATAGTCCTCTTCCACCAATCCCAACTCTGCTACCCACACGCCGAGCACGCTGCTCTCCTCCAATTAGGAGCAGGATCAACTCCTGCAGCTTATCAGTCAAATTGGTGAGAGGCAGCTGTGTAGAAGTTTACTCCTCCCCAGCGCCATATTGTGGGAGAGCAGATGCATAGAATAAGTCTTAATTCCAGTAACTTAGTCTAGTCTCAGTTGCTCCCCACAGTTCCCCCTTTCTTTTTATTTTTTGGCGTTGATATGTGCCTGTCTTCGGTGCCCTGCAGCACACACTCTGCTCTGCTTGCTAGAGTTGCCCACAGGTACTTACAAGCCCTACCAATCAGGCAAACCGAATCCGGGTCCTCTCTTCACCATGTTGTGAGGAGGTTTTTAGGCACTGATGCGTGCCTGTGTTCGGTGCCCTGCAGCACATGCTCTGCTCTGCCTGCCCACAGGTGCTTACAAGCCCTACCAATCAGGCAGACCGAATCCGAGTCCTCTCATTGCCGTGTTGTGGGGAGACTTATTGATGTTGATTCGTGCCTATCTTCGGTGACCTGCGGCGCATACTCTGCATGCAGGTGCTTATCGCCTTACTAATCAGGCAGACCAAATCCAAGCCCTCTCATTGCCGTGTTGTGGGGAGGCCTTATTTTTCTCTATTTCTCTATCTCCGGGCATTCCTATTTCTCTTATTTTACTTCTATCTGCCAGTATTCCTATTTCTCTCATTTTACTTCTATACTTCTGTTTCTCTTATCCCTGCGGCTTCCCGGCGCCTGCCCCGAGGCGACTTCTCGGCACCTCACCCTGAGGCGGCTTCCTGGCTATGCGCGGCTTCCTGGCTTCGCGCGCACTCCGTGGTCTCTGCACCCTTCGCGCCCGCACCACAGCCTCCGCGCTAGCCCCGCGCTTTCCTATCTACTCACGCCCCGTGTGCTCTCTCCGCTCGTGCCCCGCGCGCTTTCTGCACACGGCGGCTTCTGTGAATCACAGCCTAGCTCACGTTTCTGCTACCGGTTTTCAGTCTGAGTTCCCCGGGCTAACCTGACGAATTCCAACCTAGCTTACGTCTCCGCTTCCGGTATAGTTTTTTCACCTTTTGCTCCCCGGGCTAACTTGACGAATTCCAACCTAGCTTACGTCTCCGCTTCGGCCTACCCCTGCGGCTTCATTTTCCCTAGCTTATATTTTTCTCTACCTGGTATATTTCCTAACTTTCTTCCAACAATATTTCTCCCTCATTTCTCCTGGCTTCTCCCCACAGTCCGTATCCCAGTCTGTTTCTTCTAGCTTTCACTTTCACTTTCAACCTTGCTTTCTCCTAGCTTCTCCCACAGTCCATATCCGAGTCTAAGTTTCTTCTAGCTTTCACTTTCACTTTCAACCCTAGATTTCTCCCGGCACTTTTTCCGTCCGGCTTTTCCCTAGGCTCTTTGCTAGTCTCTCTCTCCGGTATTTTCCCGCTTCTTCCCGCTTCTTGCCTCCTAGGCTTCCTATCCGAGTCAAGGCACCATTATCTCTCCTAGGCTTCATATCTGAGTCACGGCACCATTATGTCGCTCCCCCATTCACGGAGGAACGACACTAGACCCTGCGCTGTTCTTTTGTCTGCTTGGCTCTTCCCGGGTTAGCTGCTGGTCCTTTCCGGGTTGGCTGCCGACCCCTCCACCTCCGTGGAGGGGCGGCTCCCCCTGCCATTTTCCCCACTTCCGCGGAGGAGTGGCACACCGCTGGCTGGCTCTCTCGGGGGCTGCACAGGTGTTATCCGGATGTTCCTGGTGCATGTTGCCTCTCTCCTCCTTTATAGTCCTCTTCCACCAATCCCAACTCTGCTACCCACACGCCGAGCACGCTGCTCTCCTCCAATTAGGAGCAGGATCAACTCCTGCAGCTTATCAGTCAAATTGGTGAGAGGCAGCTGTGTAGAAGTTTACTCCTCCCCAGCGCCATATTGTGGGAGAGCAGATGCATAGAATAAGTCTTAATTCCAGTAACTTAGTCTAGTCTCAGTTGCTCCCCAAACACATCCATTGACTATGTTGTGCCAAATTACTTAGCTTCTAAAAACAATTCAGTGAATTTTATCATAAAGCTGTAGGAAGACTTCTTTAAGTTTAGGTTCACAGATCCTGTTTAATGTTTCTTTTTCCATGTAGCAAATTCATGATTTCCATCTCAATGGGCTAAAAGCACATACATCAGAAATAGTTGTAAAAACAGTATGAACTGAAATAATTGTAGCCCCAGAATATTTCTAAGAACAGAGAAAGAATTGAAAGCCAAACAGAAATGAGAAACATTGTGGAATTAGAATTAATCTTGGAATTAGGGCTGACTTACTTTTTCATGTTGAACATGACCTCCTTTCTTTCTTCTGGAAATGCCATCTAAAGATTCACTTCGTGCATCTGAACCAATGAGTGGAAGGAATCTTAGACTAGGGGGACTTGGAACCTAGAAGCCATAAATAGACACGCACAAAGTTATTTATTACTAATGCAATGTGAATGAAGGAGTGAGGGATGGAGAGGGGGAAATACAGCTGCTTCAGAATACACTACTCCTCCCTGTTGCCCACTGTTAATTCTTGATAATTCACCCTTATCATCTATTACCTTAAGTTTGATACAATAATGAACACGATCTGGGTAAAGATAAGTAGCATTTAAGGTTAACTTCAAATTTTTGGCCTTTGATTTATTACTTTTTAGGTTATATACTCAGTTCTTTTGCGGAACCTACCTGTGGTGGAAATTTGAAGAATAAGTAGGGATTTATTTAGATAGAGAAAATGAATAGATGAACTCTAGGCAAAGAGGCAGCCCAGGCACAATCACAGAGGTAAGGGTGAAACCAGGGAAGTTTGGACATGGCAAGTAATTAATCTGGCTATAATATAGGGAGAGCATGGGCCTGATGTTGTGGGAAATGAGGGTACACAGTTCTGTCAGAAACCAGATCATGGAAGGTTTATGTGGCAATCAAGCTTTTGGATTTTATCTTGTAGGTGATGAAGAGCCAGCAGGGTAAAATTCAAAGTAGCTACTGTGTGGAATGGCCAAGACAAGTGATCTAGACCTTTGACACACAGAATCCAAACCTTCTCTTGGATTGGACATAATAGATTTATGGAAGCTGAGGCTGGCTTTGTTATGTGATTTTCTTCATTCATGCTTAGTAACCTGAGGTCAGGAATGAGATGTCAGATTCTGCTGTAGTCTTAGAAAGCTCCAACTCACCCTGTATATAGGCAGAGAACCGAATACAATCCCTGCCTTAATGTTTTCACTCAAGGAACTTTCCAAGGCATATCTTTGAGTCTGTAAAACAAATGAATGAATGCTTAATGAAATTAGGGTACATTCAATTAGCTGAAAAATACTTGGGTTCAAATCCTAACCATCACTAGTTCCAGGATCTTGGGCAAGCCCTTCCTGTTGAATAGTTGTGAGATTCAAATGAGATCAACATAGAGTAAGGTGCTATGCAAATATAAATTTTATTGTCATTATATTATTATTATGAACAACAAGATATCAAAAAGAAGTTAACAGGAAAGAAGTCGATAGATTAATATTACATAATTTAGAATGAAAAAGAATAAGAAAAGTGATTGCAGGTGAAAATCAGGGACTCCTAAGTGAAAGACATTTCTATGCAATTTAGCATTGAACCTTTGTTATTTTAACAAACACTTTAGCTAACAAGAAGGCAAAGCTTGAATAAATATTTGGTACTTGGTGCATTCAATTGATTCAAGCCCTCTATAAACCTTTCTAAAGATTTTCCTAGTTTTTTATTAATGTTTAGCTTACTTAAAAAATGATTTCTTATCTTTAAACGGAGTACTAAAAATGAATTCCAGTCTTTATTTCTAGGTTGCACTATCTCAATCCTATTTTAAAAACTTGAGTATCTATTACATACTATGTATGTGTCTTTGCCAATGATGAGCTTATGATTTTGTAGTAGGGTTGGGAAGTAAGGTAAGTATACAAATAATTATAATGCAATGTAGGACATGACAAGTGAACACATAATGAGCATGGGGAGATTGGGGCTTTTGAGAAAAGTAGAATTAACATTTAGTGATAATTTAAAATGTACCTGTTATATTTGAGGTTTTTTTAAAGATTTATTTATTTATCTGAAAGTCAGAGTTACAAAGAGAGTGAGAGAGGTCTTCCATTTGCTGATTCACTCCCCAAATGGCCACAATGGCGGAGCTGGGCCTATCTGAAGTCAGGAGCCTAGCATGTGGGTGCAGGATTCCAAGCACTTGGGCCATCTTCTACTGCTTTCTCAGGCCATAGCAGTGAGCTGGATCAGAAGTGGAGCAGCCAGGACTTGAACCATCGCCCATATGGGATGGGCTGGCACTGCAGGCAGTGCACAGCACTGTCCCCGAGAACTTTCTTATTTATCCTCACAATAACTCTTTGAAGGATTTTCAGATTATCTAAAACTAAACTTAAGTCTTTCAGACTCCACATCCCAGGCTTTCCTTGCTTGTCACCTTGTCTTCAGGGAAGATAAGCTACCGAGTTCCATTTGGACAGAAAGGTAAGGTTCTTGAAAAATTATTTCATTTGAATGTATTAAATAATTATTAAATATGAAATAAATACTATAAAATAATAATGACATAATGAAAAGTCATGGACCCACTGCCCTGTTTTACAAATTGCAACAATACTTCAACTTGAAAGTGTGCAGTTACCTGATCTCACCAGTGTTCATCTGCCCTTGGTTACTAGTGACTATCCTGATTTTGTGCTTTTCAATCTCTTGCTTTGATTTATATATTTTTACTTTATATGACTTTTTTTTTTAAAAAATTTAACATAGTCCTCCACTACCACAAATTATGCAGTCAAGTTTCCCACATTTGAGGAAATCACAGGGTCAGCACATCCAGAGTGCAATGGATAAACCTCGCCCTGGGAAAACCACCTTCGTGATCATGGTATCTCCCCTGCAGGTAAGTATTATATGACTTTCCCAAATCAATGTTTTGTTCTGTTTTGCCTACTATGGGCTTTTACACAAATGAAATTATTTATAGATATACTCAGGCAAAACTTTTCTTATTTAGCTGTATGTTTCAGACATTCGTGCATGTAACTGTTACTCTAGTTCATTTATTTTCACTGTTTTATAGTGTACTAACATAACATAATTCTATAATTTACTGACCCAACACACTTCTGATGCACATTTGACTGCTTTCAGTTTTGCTTTTACAAACAGACTTGCTCTGAGCTTCCTTATACCTATCTCCTAAGAACATGTTCAAGGTAGTTAGGCCAAAATCTAACTTTACTAGATAATGCCACATTGTTTTCCAAAGTGGTTCTGCAATTTGTATTGTGGCCACCAGCAGATTAGTGTTTTAACTGTGCCACATGCACAGTAACCCTTGTTACTCCCTGACTTTTTGACATTTGTCAGTCTGGTAGATCTAAAGTAGTATCCTATGATATTTTTATATACACCACTAATGAGCTTGAACATCTTTTTATGTGTTTGTTGATGATTTTTTTTTCTTTTGTGAGGTATCTAGTCAAGTTTTTAACCATTTTTAAGCGTGATGTCTTTTTTTCTCATTTACTTTCAGGGATTATTTACATCGTATGCATACTAACCTTTTCTTAGATATATGTGTTACAAAGGTAGGGTGGACAGATGGAGGGAGGTTATGAATGTTGTAAAGACTTTCCAGGTGATCCAGACTGTAAGATAGAAGACTGAGGGGAACTCTCAGGGAAACAACAATATAGAAAGTAGGGTAATGGTCTTTTATTAGTGGAGGTTGGTTTTTTTATTATTGCTTCAAATTTTATTTATTCCCATTTTATTTGAAAAGCAGACAGAGAGGGGGAAAGAGAGATCTTATGTCTTTTGGTTCAGTCCCCAAAAGACTGCAGCACTTAATGTTGGCCCAGGCCAGAGCTAAAAGCTAGGAATCCAATCTGAGTCTCCCTGGCAGGAATCTAATTACTTGAGCCAACTTTTGTTGCTTCCCAGGTTGCACAATAACAGGAAGCTAGAATCAGCCCAGAGCCTGAACCCAGGTACTTCCAATATGGAATGGGGACATTCCAAGCAGCATTTTAACCACTGCACCAAATGCCTGCTCTGGATAACTTCAGAAAGTATGTTTGGTTTATTTTGTAGGAGATCTTGAAGAAATCAGTTTTCATTAATACCTGACTTTATCCTAAAGACTCATGCTATATTCATTCTCTAAAAGTATTAAAAGTAGGAATAAAAGAACATAAGTATATTTGCTCTCCAAATTGTGCATGAAAAAAAATTGTGTCTGTGAATGGTAGATAATGGTCACCAAGATGTCCATGCCCTACTCTCTACTAACTGCCCCCATCTGTGAATATGTTGCTCTACTTGGTTAAAGATTCTTCAAAGGTGGGATCAATGTTAAGAATCTTGAAATGGGGAGATTATCCTAGATTTTCATGTGTACCCAATCTAATCACACAAATCCTTAAAAGCAAAGAATCTTCCCTGCTAAGTCAGAGGGACATGTGACTACATGGTCTGAGAGACATAATATTTCTAGCTTTGGAGATTCAGGAAGGGACCACAAACTAAGAAATAGCGGACTCTGCCCCCTCGGCCTCCAGAAAGGAACACAGTTCTAGCGACACCTCAGTTATAGACCATTGAGACCTATGTCGGATTCTTACAGAATTGTAACATAAGTAATTTACATTTCTTCAGCAATAAAATTTATGATAATTTGTAGCAGCAGAACTAGAAAACAAATATATTACATTTACTAGACATATTTTAATTCAGGAATGGAAAAGCAGAAGCAAATTTCTTTTTAAAGCTACCTTGGGAGAAGAAAGAGACTTGAAAAACTTAAAATCGTGTTCCACTTCAAAGGGCTTGGGAGGTGTACATTTAAATAGTAAAGACATTGAGCTCATTTTCCTCCATCTGCATATAAGATACAAGGAAAAAATGTTAAGTACATACCCACCTTTTATTCTTTGTCAGCTAAACAAATGTGTATTCTTTGTCAGCTAAACAAATGTGTCCTCTCCCGGTGGTTCCCCAAATCCCTGGCTCCCATAGCACTCATCCCAATGATACTATGTCTGCACCTAATTCTTACTCCACTTGACTTCCCAGATTTTCTTTCAGGGTAACCACAGTGATTCCTGATTTACCTGGACATTACACATAGTTAAATTCATTGATAGTCACTGGAAGAGAAAATCTGTATAGTAGGAATGGGGAAACCTTTTATATGAATTCAAAGCTTGAGTTTCATGAGTTTCAGAAAAGTTTTCCCTATAGTTAAAACTATATCATTTCTGGGCAGCAAAGGCAAGCCTTGAGCACTCCACTAGTTTTCACTGTCACTTGGAACCCTTCTTGCGTGTTCTCAAAGCACTCCTATTTTGATCTCAATTCAGTGTAGTTTCTAATTCTGAGCTTCAATGCCTATTTATAGTTCTACCATCCTTTCATTTAGATAATGTCATTGTGTCTCCACAACTATGGTTTAATGATTGTCCTAAAGGACTTTATGTTTGACAACTCCTCTGGGTTTTTCCCATTTGGGATTTAACCTCTGTGACTCCCCAAGTTCTGTCACCAGTCAAGGCAGGTCTGATCTCCTGAGCACTGGACATGGAAGACATCCATCATCCAAGCTTGAGCTTTGTTGGTATTGAAAGCTAAGATGAGTACCAATCTTTTCTGTTATGACAAAGATCCCACCACAGCCAAAACCAGGACTGAAATGTGCAAAAGCACAAAACAACTTCTAACATTCTATTGTGTATTGAAGAAGCATCCTCTCTCCCCAGACCTTTAAGTATGCTCGAGTCTCCTCTACAAACAAATTCTCAACTCTAGGGCTATTTGCATTCTTTAAAAATAGTCTATACTATCTTTAGCTCATATCTACATTTATTTCTCAGTCTTGTGACATGATATTTACCCATCACGCCACTAGAGCCATTGATGACTTCTCAGCTAACAAAAATGCAAATCTAGTGCTTACTTTTCTCTTGTCCTTTGTGACCTCACTGCTACATTCTATGGATGCTACATTCTATATTCTTTTTTTTAAAGATCTATTTATTTGAAAGGGCTGAGAGAGAGAGAGAGAGAGAGAGAGAAGTCTTCAATCCACTTGTTCACTTCCAGAGAGCCACAACAGCCATGGCTGAACCCAGGAGCCAGGAGCTTCTTCTGGGTCTCCCATGTGGGTTGCAGTGGCACAAGCACTTGGACCATCTTCTGCTGCTTTTTCCAGGCTATTAGCATGGAGCTGGATAGGAAGTGGAACAGCTGGGACAAACTGGTGCCCATGCAGGATGCTGTGTCACAGGTGGCGACTTCACCTGCTATGCCAAAAAGCTGGTCCCATTACACATTGTTGATCACTTTACTCACAGCTCCTTCCTCCCTTGACTCCCTGTACATCACTTGATTTGTGGTTTTCCTTTCAATTTCTTAGCTATTCCATTTCAGTGATTTCACTGCTATCTCTTCCTTGGCTTGCTCTTCAGAAGCTATTTCCTAAATTGTTCCTTAATTTTCTGTTTTTCTCAATCTATACCTGAATGACTTATCCACAGTGAAAGCACTGGTGTGTTGGTGACTCCAGACAGATCTGTCTTGGTGCTCATTAAGACACTTTTTTTCTATTTATTTATTTATTTATTTGACAGGCAGAGTGGACAGTGAGAGAGAGAGACAGAGAGAAAGGTCTTCCTTTGCTGTTGGTTCACCCTCCAGTGGCCGCCGTGGCCGGTGCGCTGCAGCCGGTGCACTGTGCTGATCCGATGGCAGGAGCCAGGTGCTTCTCCTGGTCTCCCATGGGGTGCAGGGCCCAAGTACTTGGGTCATCCTCCACTGCACTCCCTGGTCACAGCAGAGAGCTGGCCTGGAAGAGGGGCAACTGGGACAGAATCCAGTGCCCCGACCGAGATTAGAACCCGGTGTGCCGGAGCCACAAGGCAGAGGATTAGCCTAGTGAGCCGCGGCGCCGGCCAGTAAGACCCTTTGTAACCTGGCCAGTGCCACAGCTCAATAGGCTAATCCTCCGCCTGTGGCGCCGGCACCCTGGGTTCTAGTCCCAGTTGGGGCGCCGGATTCTGTCCCTGTTGCTCCTCTTCCAGTCCAGCTCTCTGCTGTGTGGCCAGGGAGTGCAGTGGAGGATGGCCCAAGTACTTGGGCCCCTGCACCTGCATGGGAGACCAGGAGGAAGCACCGGGCTCCTGGCTTTGGATCAGCATGGTGCGCCAGCCACAGCAGCCATTGAGGGGTGAACCAATGGAAAAGGAAGACCTTTCTGTCTCTCTCTCTCTCTCACTGCCCACTCTGCCTGTCAAAAAAAAAAAAAAAAAGACCTTTTGTAACCTAACCAAATACATTTTTCTTTTCCTTTTCATACCTGATGACTACTGAGCTTGTAACTAACTAGAAAGTTTGTTCAAACAGATTGTGAATTTCAGAAACTGGTCATTAGAAAGTTAGCTGAAGTTGCAAAGTAATTCGGCTGGCCCTCTTCAGCATGACTAAATGTTTGAATTTATTGCAACTAGAGTTTGAGGGGGTATGGGTAAGCATGGGCAGTAGGCTGAGTGAATCTCATGCTGATTAATAAAACACAACAATCTCTTAACTGAATTCTTTGCCTCTATCAGATCTCAGCCAAATAACATTTAGCTATTTAGTTGTGCAGAACATCCTGCTATTCCCACCTCATGATGAAGTCAAACCATCAACAAAGTTTCTTAAGGCACTGTGCTGAGTCTGAGTTACCCTATTATCAGACCCACACTTGGCTTCAGCACCTGACTCAGCAGCGCAACCTCACTTTTGCATCCCTTAAAAGCCCCAGAGCATACTCACCAACCAGGACAGTAGTTATTGAGAGCCCCCTCAAAGTCTGGTATTATCTTCATATGCTGGTCAATTAAGCTTCGTCTTTCTTTTTTCCTTAAACTTTGTCCTCCTTACTCGGACTTGGCCCCATTGACAAGGACTGGATTATCCACCTTCACTTGAGTTGGACTATAATATCTCAGACTTAACCCTGCCTCAAGTCAAGCTCATTATTTCCTCCAGACCTGCTTTTCCTCTTGTGTATCCTCTTACAGGGAATTCTATAAAGTTTAAAAGTTCTTACTTGGTCCACTATGAAGCCCATTGTGATGTGACCCCTATAGATTTTTCTAGCTTTATTTCCTTTTATATTGTCCCCATATGCCCCAAAAGACTACATCATAATCTCATTATTTAGCGCCTTGGCTCAAGCAGTTGCCTCTTTGATCTTCTTTGGTAAAATCTTATTTAGCCTTTTGTTATTATTTGAAGAATTAAATGTTTCCAAAAGTACTATACCAACTCACAGCTTTTTATTTATACTTCTTTTTTGCTTTTCATTGGATTGAAATATTACTGAAAAATTCTAGACCTATGACCTTTGAATTTTCTGTGTCCAGAACAATGTCACAATTTAATTCTTTTCTGGTCATCTAAAGAAAAGCTAATGATCTTACCTTGTTCGGTCAAATACCAGAGGATATTCATATCTTTCCTTTTCTTTTAAATTGCTTTCTTCTTTCATTGCTATGGGATATTCGCTAACATCACAAGGCAAAATGAAGTCACTTGTCTGTGATAATTCAAAGTTCCTTCGCTGTCCAAAGTAGCCACAGTAATGACCACTGAGGGCATGCCAAAGCCTGAGAAAAGATAAAGGGGAGAGGAAGGAGAAAGTAAATGGGGACTTCAGTGGCAGTTATTATGTTCATTAGATCATTGCATTGGTTCATCAAGGATTTTAGACCTGCGTGTAAGACTCTTCCTAGTAAATACCGTGGGGCTAATCATAGTGTAGACATTTTTATCAGAACTCCAATCCACAATCTTTTAGTGAAATGTCAGTTTGAATCTGCATTTATGACACCCATTTATCAGAGCTGGAAGACAAGGAACAGATTTTTTTTTTTTCCGAAAATAACACTGTTTATTTAAGATAATCAGAACTCACACTGGCTGACAGTCTGTTATTTTTTATTAAGCCTTAGAATGGACTCTCTATCTCTGCTGTCTACATTTCAAATCAGTATCAACAGAATTTGTAGAACTAGTGATGCTTTTATTAATATAAAATTCCTCTTGACTTTCATTCATAATTCCTACTCTTAGGGAAACACCATACTAATGTCCTGCAGAAAGATGGCAAAATAGTGACTCCATATGCGTTATTATTCATCAGTTCTCTAGGAGGTTCCTGTAAATAGCACATGTATCTATATCTTATGGAACAAAAACTGTCTTAGGGAAAACATAGTGACCTATGTCTTAGGGAAAGAACATACTATTTGGAAGATCTTCCTTTTCTTTCTTGATTTCAACCTTAGAGTAGTAAATGATGAAAACAATCATCATGTGCCCTGCAGTAGTGATTCAGAACAAGGAAGACAAGCTAAAGGAGCCATGAGAGGGGCTGGCACTGTGGCGCAGCAGGTTAATGCCCTGGCCTAAAGCGCCAGCATCCCATATGGGCACTGGTTCGAGACCCAGCTGCCCCACTCTCAGGCTGTTGCGGCCAATTGGGGAGTGAACCATCAGATGGAAGACCTCCCCCCCGCCTCTCTGACTTTCAAATAAATAAATAAAACTTAAAAAAAATAAAGGAGCTATGAGAGGACTCCACAAAGCTCAAGTAGCACCTCAAAGAAGAAGCTGAGGATGAAGCAGAAGCAAAGGTATCCAGCAGAAGCAAAGGTATCCAGTTAGGACACCTCATGCTTGACAGTACCCTGAGGACTCAATGAATGTCTTATATTTCTTTCATGATTTAATTCTCCTGCATTAAAAAAAGTCACACTTTGTTAAAGGCTATACCAAAGAGAAAAAGACAAGCACTTTAACACAAACAGAACAGTAAGAGACTAACCTCAGAACAAATCTAAATTTATTCTGCTTTGAACCAGAACTGAAATAACTTTTGGTCTCCTTGTTTCATCTCCATGTGGAACACTCCCAACAAATGAATCCTTCCCCTCAGCCTGATTTCCTGTCCCTTGGAAATGGATCCTTGGCTATCCTGAACCTGTCTTTGCCTCCCTGAAATTTGGTCTTCAGACTGATGGTCCTGTGTCCCAGAGTTTAGCATCAATTATGTAAATTTCCTATTAAAATCACAATATTTTTGACCAATAATATTTAGAATTAAAATTGACTAGCTCTTTAGAATGTGGTGGCCAGTATCAGCAAAAGACAGTGAAGAGAGTTGCATTCTGAGATAACAATTGATAGTTAGGCTCTTTGAACTGAGTATTTAAGGAGACTTCCACTTGAAGGAATTATAAAAGTAATTTCTCCAAGCCAAGAATAACTGATTTGAGCAGTGCTATGAGCTGAATGCTTATATGCCCTCGAATTTCTTAGGTTGAAATTTCATCTCTCGCATATGGGGTTGGGGTGGAGCTTTGAAAGCTATTTAGGTTGTGAAGTCCCCAGCCTCATGAATGTGATTAGTGCCACTTTATAAGAGACTTGGGAGTTCTGTTTGCCTTCCACCATAGGAGGACTCAGATAAATGGAGCCCCTGCAGAAGCTGAGAGATTCCTTGCCAGACACTGAATCTGCTGGGGCCTTGGTTTTGGACATCCCAGGCTCCAGCACTGTGAGCAACACGTTTCTGTTGTTTATAAATTCCCCAGTCTAAAGCATCTTGTTAAAGCAGCCTGAACAGAGTAAAACAAACAGGGAATGCTTACAACTAGTATGTGTGTGTGTGTGTGTGTGTGTGCACGCGTGTACACACATGGGCATGTTTGTTGCAAACTCCAATTAACAGTTCTGCTGACAGGTACCTGAAAATAAGCTGAAGCACAGGCCAAGGGACAGTTGTTAAAAACAGCCATAATAATGAAAATTCATACTTTTAACCTGTTCTGCAAGTAATACAACACATCATTGCTTTTCATCCAGAATAGTACCTTTTCCACCTTGAACTGAACATTTCTAAACCTTCTCTTTCATCTTTCCATAATCATAAGTATTTTGTCTTTGAATGACTCCTATCTTGATTAGTAACAACAACATTCACTTAAGTGTAAGGTCAAGGGTCTTTTTTTCTTTTGCTCATATAAAGGGAACAAATTTAATATATTTCATATAAATAGTTTTAAGAGCATGATAGTATTTACCACCCTACCCTCCCTTCCTTCCTCCCTCTCACTCACCCTCCTCTTTTTCTTATTTTTCTTTAAATTTTTACAATGACATATTTCCGATTTTGTTCCACTTTCCACCCCTTTCAATTAAGATTTATGAATTCATGTTACCTCTGAGACAGCACTCAGTTCTACATCATATATTTCCATCACTGTTGGCACTTCCCTAATCCAAGTTACTGTATTCACTATAGACATATAACTGATCTTGTACTCAGTTTTGCTGCCCTACAGTCTATCCCTATACGGTATCTTTTAAATATATAATTTAGCTCCTGTTACTCCTCTGTTTAAAATGCTTTAGTGGCTATTTCTTTCATAGCAAAGTTTCTAGTTTCTAACAATGACTACCAAACATGGCATAGCCTTGTCCCTGCCTCTTTGGCCTGAAGCCCACATAGTTTTAGTTAAGGTCTATTTAATTTTCGTTCAAGGGCTTTTATGAAACATAAAATATTCCTTCCTCTTCATTCTTATTTGTTTAAATTCTCTAATATACTTTGAAACCACTCTGCATCTCTTAACTCGCTTAACTTCATTCTCCTAAAATAATAATTGATTACCATGATTTTAAGACATTTTAAAAGATAGTAATTTGTCTCCAGAAATGTCTTTTCTTTCTCCTCATATATATGTCTATGTCTTGGCATTTGTAGTGTATGTACTTAGCATTATCTGGGTAATTAAAAACAAGTAGACTTTTGTTCAGTAGACTAATTAGCTCACTCATTTTTCTTAGAATTTGTTTATAACTTTTCTATGATTTTCAATCTTGAGCCTCTTTTTATGATCTTCTCTAGGTTTGGATATCTCTTTCACCTGTCTTGCTTGATTCTTTGAAATAACTAAAAAAAAATTCTTATTGGAAATACATTTGTTATATCTTTTTAAATAATTTTATTAATATAAAGAGAACAGATTTCATGTATTTCATAGATACAATTCTAAGAAGATAATAACCGGCCGGCACCGCAGCTCAATAGGCTAATCCTCCGCCTTGCGGCACCGGCACACCGGGTTCTAGTCCCGGTCGGGGCGCTGGATTCTGTCCCGGTTGCCCCTCTTCCAGGCCAGCTCTCTGCTGTGGCCAGGGAGTGCAGTGGAGGATGGCCCAAGTCCTTGGGCCCTGCACCTGCATGGGAGACCAGGAGAAGTACCTGGCTCCTGGCTTTGGATCAGCGCGGTGCGCCTGCCGCAGCGTGCTGGCCGCGGCGGCCATTAGAGGGTGAACCAACGGCAAAGGAAGACCTTTCTCTCTGTCTCTCTCTCTCTCACTGTCCTCTCTGCCTGTCAAAAATTAAATAAATAAATAAATAAATAAATAAAAAGAAGATAATAACCATATTTCTCTCCCTCCCTCCTTCCTTCCCTCCATCTACCCTTCTTCCTTCCTTTCTTTTCTCCTTTGATTTTTACAATAACTTCATTTCAGTTTATAATCACAGGCATAATACACCACTAACCATAATGTTCAATAAGTAAAAAGTAGAAAGACCACTGTTCTACAGGAATATAGACAAGGGCTAAAAACAATAATGAGAATGTCATCTCATTTTCTTGGATGTGGAAAATAATTCCAAATCAGTGAACATCTTCTCTAATCCCTTTGTGTCACCTTTTTATTATTCTATTTTTTTACTTTATTTACTTACAAAGATTGCATTTTAACTGTGTTCTTCAATTTTAGCTTGAAATCCTTTTCCTCTCATACTTAAATCCCTGAATCCACAGTATGAAGCCACCTTGTCTTACCTTACTGAGCCATCAATGGAGGCTGTAAGCACTATTTGTTTGTCTTCCACGTAGATTACTTGAATAATTTCTAATGCATGGGCACGCCAGGAAAGCAGCTGCTTGAATTTCTAGATAGTAAAAATAAAGCATATCCGTTGGAATAAGTATATGCTGGTCACAATCTATTCTTGGGCATGAGAGATCCATGCTTATGAGTGACATCTGTGCTGGATGACTAGAACCTTACCCAATTAGCTCTTCTTTTCTTGTTGAGTATCAAAGTGCCATTTTTAGAGATTTATTAATCCACACATAACCATTGGAGAGAAAGCATCTTATAGCCTTAGTAATTTAGCATGTGAGTGAAGACTGGCAATTAATTTAGTTGGTGATTAGTAGATGACTAGATGAAAGAAATGCTTTAGCAGGTGGTTATGGGAAGAGTGAGCATGTATATAATCAGGAGTGGGAGGAAGCAGAATTGGAAGGTAAAACTCAAATGAAGATTGGCAAAAAGACTTGCTGTATTCAAATTTTTTAACTTTTATTTAATGAATATAAATTTCCAAAGTACACCTAATGGATTACAATTGCTTCCCCCTCCCCATAACATTGGCCATATTATTTTTTGAAAGGTGTGGGATGGGAGGTATATACTATCAGGAAGTGACAAAAATGATGAGTTGAACTCATAGCCTTTCAGAAACTTCATGAGGCTTAATTAGCATGTTCCTTTCAGTTTATTCTCAAGGTTGGAGCCGTTTATGGGCTTCAAGACATTTCTGAAGTATGTGAGGTAGGGTTGTCAACTGAGGAGTTTGTGCTACAGTCACATGGCCTTAGAGTATGTTTTCTTTTTAAATTTATTTATGTTATTTATTTGAAAGACAGAGTTACAGAGAGAGGTAGAGACAGAAAGAGAGAGAGAGAGGTCTTCCATCAGCTGGTTCATTCCCCAGAGGGCCACAATGGTGGAGCTGCACCGATCTGAAGCCAGGAGCGAGGAGCTTCTTCCAGTCTCCCACGTGGGTGCAGGGGCCCAAGGACCTGGGCCATCTTCTATTGCTTTCCCAGGCCATAGCAGAGAGCTGGATGGGAAGAGGAGCAGCTGAGACCCATATGGAATGCTGGCACTTCAGGCCAGGGCTTTAACCCAATCCGCCACAGTGCCAACCCCGGGTATGTTCTTTTTTTTTTTTACCACTGATGAACTCAGACTAAGATCTTACTGCACCCTGGGTCATCTACCTAGGAGTATTTGTTTGACTAGAGCCCTAGAAGCTTGACGTTCTCCTAAAAGTATCCTACATTTGAACTTTAACAAAGGTTAGGTATAGTTCCTCCTAAATTTCTTGGCCTTCTGACTCAGTTTCTTCTGGTCTTTCTTGGAGAGCAAACTTATTTTCCCAAGACTATTTAAGAGTATCTTAAGTACCCTCAATCCCACTCAGCTGTGTGGAATTACTTCCCAACTGAATCAAAAAAAAAAAAAAAAAAGAGAGTGAGAGAGAGCGAGCAAGCGAGCGAGAGAACAATCTGGGTGAGTCAACTTTGGCACACCCTTAACCCTGAAGAACCAAACAGAGCTCTCTGGCCACACCCATCACAGCCTCTAAGGATCCATCAAAAGCAGACGGTCCACTTAATCTAGAGTCACAGTATAATGAGAAAAAAACACCACAGTGAAGAAACCAAAGAATATCTCCAATATGACAAACAACAAATGGAAAAACCGAGGTAACAAGAACAAGGAAGACACTATGACGCCCCCAAATGAAATAGACACCCCAATTCAGGATTACGAAGATGATGAAATAGAAGAAATGCAAGAAGCAAGAAGTGGATCTCGAAAAATTGATAGGAACATTAAGAAGTTCTCAAAAAACAAATTCTTGAACTACAGAAATCCTTAATGGACAAGATAGAAAATCTCTTGTGCAAAAATGAAACATTAATGAGGAATCAAAATGAAGTGAAACAACTAGTAGAACATGAAACTGTGATAGTGACGAGAAATCATAATGAAATGAAGAATTCAATTGATCAAATGACAAACACATTAGAGAGCCTTAAAAACAGAATGAGTGAAGCAGAAGAGAGAATATCGGACTTAGAAGACAGAGAACAGGAAAATATACAGTCAAACCAAAGAAAATAAGAGGAAATTAGAAATCTAAAAAATTTTGTCGGGAATCTTCAGGATACTATTAAAAAACCCAACATTCGGGTTCTAGGAGTTCCTGAAGACATGGAGAGGGAGAAAGGATTAGAAGGCCTTTTTAGTGAGATACTAGCAGAAAATTTCCCAGGTTTGGAGAAGGACAGAGACATCCTAGTACAGGAAGCTCATAGAACCCCTAATAAACATGACCAAAAAAGATCCTCATCACGTCACATTGTAATCAAACTCAACACAGTGAAACATAAAGAAAAGATCCTAAAATGTGCAAGAGAGAAACATCAGATTACTCTCAGAGGATCTCCAATCAGACTCACAGCTGACTTCTCATCAGAAACCCTACAAGCTAGGAGGGAATGGTGAGATATAGCCCAGGTACTAAGAGAGAAAAACTGCCAGCCCAGAATATTATACCCTGCAAAGCTCTCATTTGTGAATGAAGGTGAAATGAAGACCTTTCACAGCAAACAGAAATTGAAAGAATTTGTCGCCACTCGTCCAGCCCAGCAAAAGATGCTTAAAGATGTGTTACACACGGAAACACAGAAACATGGTCATCAATATGAAAGAAGGTAAAGGAAGGAAACCTCACAGCAAAAGATCACAGGAAGTTCAAAGCATATATTAGAAGATATCTTTGGAAAATGGAAGGGCAAAGTTACTACTTATCAATAGTCACATTGAACGTTAATGGCTTGAACTGTTCAGTTAAAGACACCGATTGGCTGACTGGGTTAAGGAACAAAACCCATCTATTTGCTGCTTACAAGAAACACATCTTTCCAACAAAGATGCATACAGACTGAAAGTGAAAGGCTGGAAAAAGATATACCATGCCAACAGAAATGAAAAAAGAGCAGGTGTAGCCATCTTAATATCAGACAACATAAACTTTACCACAAAAACTGTTAAGAGAGACAAAGAGGGGGCACTATATAATGATTAAGGGATCAATTCAACAGGAAGATATAACGATTATCAATGTATATGCAACTAATTACAGGGCACTGCTTTTTTTAAAAAATTTGTAAAGGGACTTAAAGGGAGACTTAGACCCTAATACAATAGTACTGGGGGACTTCAATACTCCACTCTCAGAAATAGGCAGATCAACCGGACAGAAGATCAACAAGGAGACAGATTTAAATGACACTATAGCCCAAATGGATCTAACAGATATCTACAGAACTTTTCATCCTACACATAAAGCATTTACATTCTTCTCAGCAGTACATGGAACCTTCTCTAGGAGTGACCACATACTAGGCCATAAAGCAAGTCTCAGCAAATTCAAAAGAATTAGAATCATACCATGCAGCTTTTTAGACCATAGAGGAATGAAGTTGGAAATTAGCAACTCAGGAATCCCTAGAGCATATGCAAACGCATGAAGATTGAACAACATGCTCCTGAATGAACAACGGGTCATAGAAGAAGTCAAAAGAGAAATCAGAAACTTTCTGGAAGTAAATGAGGATAACAGCACAACATACCAAAACTTATGGGATACAGCAAAAGCAGTGTTAAGAGGAAAGTTTATATCAATAGGTGACTACATCAAGAAATTGGAAAGGCACCAAATAGATGAGCTTTCAATGCATCTCAAGGATCTAGAAAATCTGCAGCAAACCATACCCAAATCTAGTAAGAGAAGAGAAATAATTAAAATCAGAGAAGAAATCAACAGGATTGAATCCAAAAAAACATTACAAAAAACCAGCCAAAGGAGGAGCTGGTTTTGTGAAAAAATAAACAAAATTGACACGCCATTGGCCCAACTAACTAAAAAAAGAAAAGACCCAAATTAATAAAATCAGAGATGAAAAAGGAAATGTAACAACATAAACCACAGAAATAAAAAGAATCATCAGAAATTACTACAAGGACTTGTATGCCAGCAAACAGGGAAACCTATCAGAAACGGATAGATCCTGGACACATACAACCTACCTAAATTGAACCAGGAAGACATAGAAAACCTAAACAAACCCATAACTGAGGTAGAAATTGAAACAGTAATAAAGGCCCTCCCAACAAAGAAAAGCCCAGGACCAGATGGATTCACTGCTGAATTCTACCAGACATTTAATGAAGAACTAACTCCATTTTTCTCAAACTATTGAAAACAATCGAAAAACAGGGAATCCTCCCAAATTCTTTCTATGAAGCCAGCATCACCTTAATTCCTAAGCCGGAAAAAGATGCAGCATTGAAAGAGAATTACAGACCAATATCCCTGATGAACAAAGAGGCAAAAATCCTCAATAAAATTCTGGCCAATAGAATGCAACAACACATCAGAAAGATCATCCACTCAGACCAAATGGGATTTATCCCTGGTATGCAGGGATGGTTCAGTGTGCGCAAAACAATCAATGTGATACACCACATTAACAGACTGCAGAAGAAAAACCATATGATTATCTCAGTAGACACAGAGAAGGCATTGATAAAATACAACACCCTTTCATGATGAAAACTCTAAGCAAACTGGGTATGGAAGGAACATTCCTCAATACAATCAAAGCAATCTATGAAAAACCCACGGCCAACATCCTATTGAATGGGGAAAAGTTGGAAGCATTTCCACTGAGATCTGGTACCAGACAGGGATGCCCACTCTCACCACTGCTATTCAATATAGTTCTGGAAGTTCTAGCCAGAGCTATTAGGCAAGAAAAAGAAATTAAAGGGATACAAATTGGGAAGGAAGAACTCAAACTATCTCTCTTTGCAGATGATATGATTCTTTATTTAGGGGATCCAAAGAACTCTACTAAGAGACTATTGGAACTCATAGAAGAGTTTGGCAAAGTAGCAGGATATAAAATCAATGCACATAAATCAACAGCCTTTGTATACACAGGCAAAGCCATGGCTGAGGAAGAACTTCTAAGATCAATCCCATTCACAATAGCTACAAAAACAATCAAATACCTTGGAATAAAC